CTGTTAAATTAGGAACGGCTAGCGCAGATAGCGCTCGTGTAGCTTTGCGCGAAATTCAAAAAGCAAACAAACAAACAGTAAAGGTCCAAGTCTTCTATTGTCATTTACCCTCCGTGCTAAGTAGCTTTGATGGAATTTTTTAAAGATTACATAAATTTTTCTCTATGTGTTCCAGCAATATTAACGTTGGCGGATTTCGTACCAGAATAATAAAAAAAGAAATTAAATGCATAAATAGCTCAGCTATCTGAAGCTTTATGAATGACGAAATTAATTTCAGTTACGTTTTTATGTGCTCCATGAAAACGTTCACCCCTATCTTTACATTCACTGCAACTCAATATATGCAGTTTATTCTTCGACACGAGCCATTAAATTACCCATTATAATTTTGTCATTGAGTATAACTGTAACTTGTAAGACTCTTATTCTTTGATTGTTTTAATAAATCAGTTTGCATCACGAATACAGTTTTTTCTAATTTTGTTTCGGTATTATCTTTTAATGTATAACACCCTTTGGCTATCTTCGTAGTATATATATATACATATTTTAATAAAACATAGCTTAAGATAAAGCCTTATAGTTGTAAAAACCCTATACAATGTAAATTTACATTTCAAAACAAGTTTAAAAGATACTGTAGTGCAATATGCAGAAACTTGAAATCAAATTGCTTATTTTATGTAGACTATTTACTGAATAAACCTAAGTTACGTAGTTTTTAGCACACATTTTACTTATAATTTCAATACCATAATTTTTTTTATATCGTAATTAAAATTATTTTATACTGTAAACGCTTTCGTGTTTTTTCCCAAAAGTTGACTAACATTGCTGCAAATATTAGCGGTATTTTAGGAGAACAATGGCGCTGCCGCTCCGCCTTTTTTTTTTGCTGTATACTTGAAAGGTACGATACTGATATCTTCCCTTCACAGGCCAAGTCCCTCCTTCCCCAGGCACGCTGGGGGAAGACATCGGAAGTTCGAGTTACTCAAACTCATCTGCAGCTTTTCCTCAATCTAGCATCTCTCATTTCTCGTAATCACACCAGACTGGAGGAGGCTGATGCGGTAAGAGATTTTAAACAGAAACACAAACAAGATGGGGGGATTGATATACAATGAAACATGCAGACAGATGGCTAAGATGACTACTTGTTCAATAGTGATGTAACAGAAACACAAACAAGATGGGGGATTGATATACAATGAATCATGCAGACAGATGGCTAATATGGCTACTTGTTTGATAGTGATGTAACAGAAACACAAACAAGATGGGGGATTGATATACAATGAAACATGCAGACAGATGGCTAAGATGGCTACTTGTTCGATAGTGATGTAACAGAAACACAAACAAGATGAGGTTTTGATATACAATGAAACATGCAGACTGATGGCTAATATGACTACTTGTACAATAATGATGTAACAGAAACACAAACAAGATGAGGGATTGATATACAATGAAACATGCAGACAGATGGCTAAGACGATGTACTAATGTGAAAGAAATTACGAACATTTGGTTTATAGAAAATCAAAGAGTTTGCCGTAAGATTTTAAATATGATAAGTATTATACAATACTGTTATTTCATACTCATGAGCCATATATATATATACATGTTTGTGTGTGTGTATATGTGTTTGTATATAGCAGTCAAAGTACATTTTACGATTTTTTTTTATATAGAAGTACACAAATATCTTCGAGTGGAAAAAATTTCTTTGTCTGTATATATATATGTATGTCACC